CTCTGCTGGTGCTTCGAAGGCTCACAGGTTCTCAAAAGTGAAGGCCATCCAAGAGGTTTTAAGCAACCAGGCGCGAGAGGCACCCCACCAGCAGGCCGATGCCGAACTTGTTCCCTGGAAGGAGGTTTAGTTGTACCACGGTTGTTCCGTTCTTGAGTTTCCCCGAGGGTCCACCAGTTGGCCCATGCTGCCGCCCATCACGGCCGCTCAGGTGGAGGATGCCGTTCACACTTACCCCATTCGCACTGCTGGAGGCATGATGGGTATTCATCCGAGAGCTTTAATACATTTGCCTAGATCGGCCTTCTCGGCGATTGCTGAACTCTTTAACCTGTGCGAGTTGCACTTAGCCTGGCCTAGAGAGCGTGTATGTAACGAGATGTGTCGTCTTGCCAAACCAGATGGTGGGACTCGTCTGATCGCTCTTGTCTCGTTACTGTGCCGTGTCTGGGGCAAAGTTCGCAAGCCCATCACCTTCGACTGGCAAGAGCGCAATGACTGCCACGCTGTTTGGGGTACTCGTCGTGGGCACAGTTCCTCAGACAGTGCTTTTGCCCACAACATTGCTGCCGAAATGGCTGCGCTAGTCGGTGATATTTCAATATCTGTCCTCTTGGACATGATCAAATGCTTCGAAATGGTTCACTCGGAGCAGCTGTTGAAAGAGGCTGAAGCGTTGCACTTTCCAATGCGGCTAGCTTGGATGCTGGTGGACCTGTACAGGCAGCCACGGCGTCTTCGAGCTTTCGGCAGCTTGTCGTTGCAGTTCTGTTCGCATCAAGGCATCCTTGCTGGGTGCAATCATGCGACAGGCATGCTTTTCCTTCTCACGCTGCGTGCTGTGCGTAGACTCAATGACATATCGCCCTGTATAACACCGAGAGCCCTCGTCGACGACATCTCGATTCAGCTCGTCACATCGGATCCTCGTGATGTGCGTTTCCTGGAGCGGGCTGTGAAAGTGTTCACCGAAGATGCCAAGGATCTCGGGCTCCACTCCCATGTCAAAAAGTCGGGGCTCATTGCAGGGAACAAAGTTGCTCGGAAGGTTTTCTCGAAGATGGCTGTTCGGCTGCATCTACCTGTTCGTAAATGGATGAGAAATCTCGGGCACGAATTAGCTGCTGGTCGGGTTGTTCGCACGCAGGAGAAGAAAAGGCTACTTGCTCTCAAACGTCGTCGTGACAAGTTCGTTGCTCTGAAACATGCAACTGGCAATCGTGCAACCCGACTTTGGAGGACTGGAGCTCTCCCAGCAGCTGGACACGGTGGCTCCGTGTCGGGTATCTCAGACACTGCGCTGAAGTATTTGCGGCAGCTTGCGGCTACGATCGCAGGTGCCAAGCAGCACGGTGGCATCACCTCGTATCTGCTGACGCAGGCCGATCCGCTATACGACCCGATCTACGACTCCACTACTTGTGTGTGTGTCAAGTTCGCCACGTTCGTCTGGGACGGAAGGGTTCAGTTGTCGAGACTTCAACGTGCGTGGACCTGTTTGAGAGACATCATGTCCGACAACCCTACTTGGCAGCAGGCTCGAGGTCCGCTGTCGGCGGTGTGGCTCAGCCTGCTTCGCATAGGCTGGACGATGGTCAATGCCCACACTTTTCGCAGTGATCTTGGTACTGATATTTCGCTGCTGGTGGTGTGTCCCAGTGATGTGCGCATTGCGATTATTGAAGGGGTGCAGCGGTGGCAGATACGTCGGTTGCAGCAGCACCTCTATAACACTGACCCTCCAGAAGGGGAGCCTTGGTTTCGTGCACTACGTAATGGTATTCGTGCTGTAAAAGACCAGCGGGCTCTTGTGGCCCTGGCTGCCGTCTGGGGGAATGTGGTTCCGCTACCTGCTGCACTATCTGCTATGCAATATGACGTACTACCCCAGTGCCTCGCCTGCTCCGATCCTCAAGGTACGTACGCACACGTGTGGTATGCCTGCCCTAAGTTCATCACCGACGACGGGGTTGACGCTCTGGGTGACGAGGTTCCTGAGGCCCTGGCTAAGCATAGGCGCGTGTTGATCCAGTCTCGGGCCTCTATAACTGGTGAGCCCGATGTGCACTCTAATTATTTAACTTATGGCATTCCTCCTTTGCCTACCAATATTCCCGCTCCGCTTGCCAACCCGCCTGTTTTTGAGTTTGGGACGTCTCTGGGTCCTGGGGCCCTCAGTCTTTCACTGATGGTAGTTGCTATCACTCTGGGGTCCCAGAGGTCTCCAGAGCTGGTTGGAGCGTTGTGCAGTTATTTGATTGTCTGCTTCCCCTGAGGGCTGTATATGGAGCGCTCCCAGGTGAGCGTCAGACCATAGGTCGTGCAGAACGTTGGGCTGTGCGGCAGGGTCTGGCATTTCATCCGCAGCATCAGAGTATTGCATCGGACCTCCAGGCTGTTGTGCGAGAAGGCAATTCTTGGAACCTGCATCTTTCCCAAGGCATGTCCAAGCACGCCTCGATCTGGAGGTCCATATTTGACCTTAAGTCTAATCACCCCCAGTTCTCTTGGTTCCCAGCCCATCTGAGTTTTGATGACGTGTTGGAGCGTGGGCTGTGTGTCAAAAGTTGGGCTGGGAATCTGTGGGCTGACTTTTTCGCCAAACTAGGGGCTAGCTCTCACACGCTGGCTGAAGGTTTTTGCGCGGCTGTGGCAGGGGAATTAAAATATCATAAATCCACTGTGCGGTTCATTGCATGGGCTGCTCAACGCATGCTCGAGTCTGGCACATGGACGCAAGTTGACCCTGATCGTCCTCTCCGCCTCTTGAGAGCCCCTGCCCCTCCTAAGGTCACGGTCACTAGCCATGTGTTATTTCGCTGTGAGGCCACCAGCACCTATAAATGCAGGAGCTGTGGCCGCGTCGCTCGCACATTGGAGTCGCTTAAGAGCCTGCTCACGAGTAGGGACTATCGTGACTGTTTACCATCTCCGATCCAGCGACACGTGTGCGACCAGTGGTTTCGTGAGTTTGGGGCTGCTTTTAGGCCCGTGCAGCTGGAAGCGGTGAGGGTTGCTCTGGCTGCTGCTGACGAAGCTCAGCGTGCGTGCATTGATGAGGTCCAAGGTCCCCCGACTCCTGTGGCTGAGCCCGAGCCGTCGGACGAGTGTTCTGCTTTTCGGGACCTTGGGCACGACGTTTTTCGTCACCTGCATGTGTACTGTTGCAAGCTGTGCGGGGCTCATGGCTCTCTTGGCTCGCTGCGAAACCTCACGCAGCAATGCAAAGGGAGATCCAAGGTCCCGAGCACAGCCGCCAATCAGAGAATGTCCATTCGACGGCTGGAGCGTGGGTGTCACCCCAGAACGGGCGTGAAGATTGCTGTCGCCGCTGAGCGCGACGATGACCGCGCGGAGCTCCGCCGCGTTTCCTCTTTGAGGCTGCTGGAAGCGGCCCGTGTGCCCGAATCTGCTCCCGATGGAGCGAGCTCGGGGTCTGACTAAACTTGTTTTGTTTTTTCTTGGGCCGCCCTTGTAGTCTGTCGCCCGTCGCCTCCCCCTCCCCCGCCGCATACGTGTGCTTCTTCATGGTGCTCTCGGCGCTGAGGAGGCTGGTGTGCGACGAGGCCAGGCAGGCGGGGCGGCCCTCCCGCTCGGCCCACGCCCTTGCGTGTGCTGGGCTTTGCTGAACTGGACCACCAGCTCGAGGCTTGCCTCTTGCTGGTGGCGTGCGGTCCGCGCGCCTCCTCCTCCTCCTCCTCCCCCTCCTCCTCGTCCTCCTCGTCCTCCTCGTCCTCCTCCTCCTCCTCCTCCTGCTCCCCTCCTCCTCCTCGCTCGTCCTCCTCCTCCTCCTCCTCCACCTCCTCCTCCCCCGCCCTCCTCGTCCTCTCCTCCTCCTCCTCCTCCTCCTCCTCCTCCTCCTCCTCCTCCTCCTCCTCCTCCTCCTCCTCCTCCTCCTCCTCCTCTCCTCCTCCTAATACCCTCCTCCTTCTCCTCCACCTCCTCCTCCCTCCTCCACCTCCTCCTCCTCCTCCTCCTCTTCCTCCCCCTCCCTCCTCCTCCTCCACCTCCTCCTCCTCCTCCTCTTCCTCCTCCTCCTCTTATTATTATCCTTCTGAGCTTCTTCTTCTTATTATTCTTCTCCTCATTATTATTCTCCAGATTCTTCCTTCTTATTAATTTTTGTTATTCTTCCCTCCACCTCCTCCTCCTCCTCCTCCTCCTCCTCCTCCTCCTCCTCCTCCTCCTCCTCCTCCTCCTCCCCCTCCCCCTCCCCTCCCCTCCTCCTCCGCCCCTCCTCCCTCCTCCTCCTCCTCCTCCTCCTCCTCCTCCTCCTCCTCCTCCACCTCCTCCTCCTCCTCCCCACCCCCCCCCCCCTCCTCCTCCTCCTCCTCCTCCTCTTCCTCCTCCTCCTCCTCCTGCTCCTCCTCCTACTCCTCCTCCTCCTCCTCCTCCTTCCTCCTCCTCCTCCTCCTCTTCTGCTTCCGCTCACCCTTTTCTGTCCGGCGGGCGCTGACCGAGCGTCCATAGCGCCGACGCGCCGTGCCCAGGTCAGGCCACCTGCACCGAATTAGGGGGGGAGGGGAGGGCCCCCACGACCCCGGCCAGCACAGGGGAGTGCGCGGCAGCGGGATGGTGGGGGGGCGTTGCCTCCGCGAACGTCACTGGCAACGCTCACCTCAGACCAGGAGGTGCCACTGACCACTCTGTACCCTCTCCTCCCTCCCTCTCCCTTCCCCTCCACCTCCCCCTCCCCCTCCCCCTCCTCCTCCTCCTTCTCCTCCTACTCCTCCTCCTCCCCCTCCCCCTCCCCATTCCCCTCCTCTTCCTCCTCCTCCTCCTCCTCCTCCTCCTCCTCCTCCTCCTCCTCCTCCTCCTCTCCTCCTCCTCCTCCTCCTCCTCCTCCTCCTCCTCCTCCGACTCCTCCTCCTCCGACTCCTCCTCCTCCTCCGAATCCTCCTCCTTATCCGCCCCGATCCTCGATCCTCGAGCCTCGATCCCTTCGGGCCTCCCGCGCCTCCGCGGCCCCTCCCCATTTGGGGCGGCGGCGCGGGGCGGGCCTGGCCCTCGCGGCCCGCAGCCGCGCGGCCAGGTCGGGCTTCCCCGTGGGGGCGGGCGGCGCCGGGAGACCAGAGCCTGCCGGTGCGGGGAGGGGGGAGGGGGGAGGAGGAGGAGGAGGAGGAGGAGGAGGAGGAGGAGGAGGAGGAGGAGGAGGAGGAGGAAGAGGAGGAGGAGGAGGAGGAGGAGGAGGAGGAGGAAGAGGGGGAGGAAGAAGAAGAAGAAGAGAACTCGGGCGGTCCAGGGTTTTTCTTTGTACTGCCTTCTGAGAGCCCTGCCCTTCCCAACCGAGCCCGGTGGAGTACAGTCGAACCTACAGTAGAGGCTCGATCACCAGAAACCTCCACAAAAAAAAACAATCCTGAGACCCCGGGGCGTCAAGTGAGTTCTGGCGTGAGAGCGTCTCGCTCTCCACCGCAAAACCCTCGAAACCCAACAAACCCACGGCACCCTGGATGCAAGCAAGGTGTTTCTTGGCATGGGTCTCCACTGTATGGCAGAAGAACATAAACCCAGATCAAGCCAAATTTGTGCCACATTGAGCTCAGGATGCAACCGGAGCAGGCAAGGACTGGGTCTTAGAATCCCGCGCGTTGTCCCAGTCGGGCCTGCAAGCCCCGATTAGGACAAGTGGCGGTTTATCGGATTTGGCTGGTTCTCGACCGCGGATACACCAGCACCGATTCTGAATTCCCCTTACCCTCTGGGCGTAGGTGGTTTAGGGCGGCTCCTCTTCCAACACCCTTTCGTCCACTTCGGGGAGGGGTTCACCCCTCCCCCTAACCCCTCCCCTGGACTTGGACGGGGGGGGCCGCGAGGTGTCGGAGCGTCCAAAACGGCCTCGGCGAGGAAGCCAAAATCATTGGTTTACCATGGTTTTGGCTTTATGTTGGCCTCTTGGGGGGGCGACGCTAATTAAGGAACCCCCCTTCTTTGATCGATCTCCTCCGAGATGGCCCCACGAGCGCTCCCAAGGCTCCAAAGGGTGCCCCAAGAGGGCCCCAAGAGGTGGCCAGGAGGCCCCAAGAGGCTCCCAAGAGGCCCCCAGGATGCCCCCAAGAGACCCCCAAGAGGCCCCAAGAGGCACCCCAGAGGCACCCAAGACGCTCCAAGAGGCCTCGGCGACAATGCCAAAATCACTGATTTTACTAAGGTTTTGGCCACATGTTGGCCTCTTGGGGGGTGGGCACTGCTTCAGATGACTCCAAGAGCGCCTGGGAGAGCCCAAGATGACCTCCAAGATGGCTCAAGATATCCCAAGATGCCTCAGGATGGCTCCCACGATGCTCCAAGAGGCCCCAAGACCGCTCCAAGACGGCTCCAAAAGGCCAAAGAACTCCCCCAGGAGGCCCCGAAGAGGCCAACATCCTTCCGAAACCTTAGGACAATCCATGTTTTTGGTTTTCTCGCCGAGGCCGCAAGATGGCTCCAAAATGGCCCAAGAGGGTTCCAAGAGCGCTCCCAAGGCTCCCAAGAGCGCTTCAAGAGGGCCCCGACAGGCGCCCAGGAGGCCCCAGGAGGCCCCAACAGGCGCCCAAGAGGCCACCAAAAGGCCCCCAAGAGACCCCCAAGAGGCCCGCAAGAAACTCTCCGAGGCACCCAAGACGCTTTAAGACGCGTCCAGGACCGCCAAGAGGCCCCCAAGACGCTCCAAGAGGCCTCCACTGGGGGACCCTTCCTCTGTGTGCTGCCCACTTCCCTGACTGAAGCAATTCCTCTGGGCATCGTTCCTGGATGGGCTGGTGGGGCCACGCGAAACGTCTAGACTTTCACCTCCTAGCTACAGCCGGACCTCGGCCAAAAGAACATCCTCAAACAACACGAAACACCTTGCTGGCCAAACCCCACAGAGCATCCAAGGGTACCCTCCCAAGGATGCATGAGAGCATCCAACAAGCCTGAACAAAAACGTTAAGGCACCCTCCCTGAACCGACGTCGATCTCATACATCGGCCCGACTGTAACGGCATGGAGAGAAACAACAGGCCAGCATGGAGGAGCAGCGGGATGAGGCCCCGACCCCAAGACGCGGAAGGGCAGAATCCACATGTTTCCCCACGGCACCGAGTCCAATCGCATGCGCGGTACAATTCCAAATCAAGGGCGGGTTCGAGCAACTGGCTGCCCGATGCTGATAAAGAGGGGTCTTGCCGCTTCCCCCCCTCTTCAAAACGGCATTTTGAGCAGTAAGACTAGACTACCTCATTACATTGGGAATGAAGGTTAACGAGACGAATTCGGCTCCGGTGAGAAATACGGGGAGGAGAAAGGGAAGACGCAAGGATCACGGAAAGGCAGTTCGACGTTCCACGTTGTCGGACGTGTTCATTGGCTTTCGGCGGTTTTTCAGCTTCGGGGTGCTGTCCGACAGCTGCAGCTCGTCGAGAGCGTTCCAGGGGTGCCTGGATCGCCCCGAACGGCCGCAGGAGGCCCGAATTAATAATTCGGGCCAAAGAACCACCAACCGTCAGAGGCAACCTGAAAAAGGGGGTAATACGCAGCGCAATTAAACGAAAAGTATTAATAAGGACGAACTCATCACGAATCGTGAATCATAGTAGTGCCCTGAGTCTGACAGTGGCGACTGCCCTCACAAGCTCGCTCCAATTTTGGATGTTGGTGGGCGGTATTAAGCCCAACGGTAGGCTTCGGAAAGCATGCCAAGCCGTCCCGATTCCGACGCGCAACGCATCCACTCTACAATTCTGACCTGCCGTCTGGGGTGCCACCGCTGCCGTCGCCAGAACGCCTCATTGGGTCCCGCCGACTCTCCGATCAGAGCTTGCCGTTGCGCTCGACGAGGTCCTCCTTGGCCGCCTTCTGGCGTTCGACCGCGCGCCCCCACTGCTTCGCGAGGTCCCCCTTCTTCCAGCCCGTCTTGGGCCCCGAGCCTGCGGAGCCAGATGTCGAAAAACGGGGGCAGGCGATCGATCGCCCTGGCGTTGATGACGGACACCAGCCTGGCCGTCCTTAGCATCGACACGGCCCTCTCCTGCTCCGGGGCCCCGTGGCCGAAGTCGATCATCTCCGCCTGGTCCTCGGGGCTGTCCTCCCCAGTGTTCGATCTGCCTGACTTCCATGTCACCGGCCATCCCCGTGCCGCCCATCGCGGCGATGGAGAGCGGCGGGAAGATGATGACACGGCACGGTGCCTACACGTGCCCTCGCCCCTCTCAGACCACCTGCGGCCGCAGCTCTTGCTCACGCACCTACATTGGGCTTCGATGCCTACACCGCGCGGCGCGCCCGCTCCTTCGGCTCGACGGGGGCCGTCTTGCCGTGCGGGCACACGTACATGATGTGAATCTATCCGCCGAGGGCGGTGGTGAAAGCTGCTGGAGCTCCTAGCCACTCGTCCCTCAGGACAGCCTCGCAGACGTCCTTCAACCAGATGTCGGTGCCACTGGGCCGTCCTTGTGTGTTCCTGAACTCCGCCTCTATGGCGCACTCGATGAACCTGGTCTGCTGCGATGGCGACTCCTTTTCCTGTTTGACCCCCAAGATAGACCATTCGGCCTTCAGGCTGTAGTCCTTATCGCCGTGCTGCGTGGTTCCGTGGCACCTGAAGCGCATGTAGCGGCATGGGCGCAAGGGGTCCAGAACTCTGTCGATGAGCGTCCGCAGAAACTCGCCGCCCATGGCCCTGGCGGCCTATTCGTGCACGACGACAGAGCTGATGCTCTGGAACCTTGGAAATCTCGCCACTCTCGCAAACCAAGACGAAGAGCGATGCAAAGCCGTGCTCCTCCTCACAGAAATGGAACGAAGCCGGGTTGATCGCGACTGCGTGACCACCCGCGAATTTGCGCGTGCCGTCGACCTCCTTGACCAAGGGCGCCAACTTCATCTTGGAGGCGATCTCACAAATCGCGCGTCATCCTCGGACCTCTTGCCAGCCCTGTTCGCCCAATTACGAGCTCGGCGAGAGTCGAGAGGGGGGCTCTGCCAGCCTGGCGGCCACGCTCCCGTCCCGGAGGCTCGTGCGGAGCATCGTCACGCGCTACCGACCTCTCTCCGCGGGCTTCCGCCTGGCGGCCCGGCTCCCGTCCCAGGGGGTCCTACGGAGCGCTGCCACGCTCTCTAGACCCTCATGACCTTCAACTCGGAAGGATTTTGTGCCAGAGGGATCCAGCTGGTCGGCAGGCGGCGGCCCGGGGTGGCGCCGCGGCCCCGCGCGCCTGCCGTTGACCCCGTGGGGGGGTGGCGCCACCGCTTCGCGGCAGCACCGCCCGGGCCTTGGGCTCCTGTGCCCGGTGCCGTGCCGCGCGGCGCGGGTGTCGCGGCGCCGCCGCCTGGGTTCCAGGGCGGGGTGGCGAGCACAGGGCTCGCGGGCTCGTCCCGTGATGTTGGCGGCCGCTGGCGGCACACCCCTGGCCCTTCCGCCCCGTGCGGCGTCGTGTCCTCCGAGCGGCGCCGGCGCGGCCGCGCCCCAGCGCCAGCAGCGCCGCGGGTCGCTGGCCCTTCGGCTGGTGCGGTCGCTCGGGGGCTGCGCAGGATCCTCCCCCGCAGTCCGCCGCCTCGGGCTCCTCCGCCTCGCTTCCTCCTGCGCGAGGGCATGGCGGGCGCCAAGGAGGATGGATGAGCTTCTCGCTGCGCCGCGGCGCGGCGTCGGGGGCGCGGGCCCGGGGGCCAGCAGCAGCTCCCGACAGTGACTCAGGAGCGGCCGAGCGCCTGAGCCCGAAGGGCCACAGACGTCGGGCAGGGAAGAGGAGACACATCCGTGATGGAACACGGGGCACCACGGGACACCACGGGACACCTGTCGATCTCACTATCGATCTCCCTGTCGATCTCACTTTTTGGGGACACCGCGGGACACCACGGGACACCTCGGGGCACCACATCGATCTCAGTATCGACCTCAATATCGATCTCACTATCGATCTCACCCAATGGGACACCACAGGACACCACGGGACACCGCGGGACACCGCTAGGGCCACCGCCGGACAGACGGACGGACGGACGGGGGAGCAACATTTGTCTTGACGCCCTAGCAACGGCGGACACCACGGGACACCGCGGGACACCACGGGACACCGCGGGACACCGCTGGGGCCACCGCCGGACGGACGGACGGACGGACGGACGGACGGGGGAGCAACATTTGTCTTGACTTCGCCCTCGCAACGGCGGGTTCATTCCTCTCGCGCGCCCACGCAGCTTCGCCTCGCCCGCACGCACGACACGAACGAATCGAAACGATTTCCCGGTTGGGGGTCTCCGTCCCACTGCGATCTCACCCCCCAACCTCCGATGCTCTTCCTCCTGCTCATCCTTATGATCCTCATCATCATCATCATCATCGTCATCCTCATCCTTCTTCTCGGAATCACCATCATTCTCAGCATCATCATCAGCAGCATCATCACCATCGTCATGAGCATCACCATCACCATCACCATCACCATCAACAACAACAACAACAACAACAACAACAGCAACAACAGCATCAGCATTATCGTCTTCCGCATCCTCCCAATCTTTTCCTGATGAGTGTGTCATCCCCGTCGCACCCCGAGGCCGGTCGAAAGGGCGGGCCCGGCGTTTCGCCCGCGACTGCCTCACCACGCATGGCCCGCGAAGCTTCGGAACTGGCAGCGGCTTCACAGACAGAGGGCGGCTCGCTTCCAGAACGCGGCTCTCGCCGGAGCGCCGCGCGCCCTTCGCCTGACAAACAGTGGCGAGGGCCTCGCGGATCGGGGGCGGGCCGTTCTCGAGCTGTGGCTCTCGCCGTGGTGCCGCGCACGTCCGCCTCCGAGACGTGCACGGGCTTCACGGATGGGGGGGCGGGTCGTTCTCAGTGTGGCCCTCGACGTCGCGCCGCGCACAAGCGCTGAAACAGCGGAAGGAGCTGCACGGACTGAGGGCGGCCCCTTTTGCAACATGTGGCTCGCGCCTCAGGGCCGCGCACACTCGCCCTGAAGCCTCTGCAAGAATCTCACGGGTTCCCATGGCCAGCGGGCCAGACATGCTGTCTTGGAGAGACTCAGGACTGCGAGGGCGCAAGAGTCACGTTCACTCGCAGTGCTGAAGTCCCAGGAACAGCGTACTGGCACAACTCCAGATCGTCAAGGCGCAACAGTCATGTCGATTCGTGGCGTTGGAGTCCCGAGAATGGTATATTGGCACGATTCAGGGTCCTCAGACGATTGTCTCCCGACGAGGCAGTTCCCTCTGTAGAAACAATCCATTGTAGGGGCCTGTGAAGAGGGAGCTTGGAGGAAGGGTTTACTACAACATCGTTGATAGTCTTGGGTTTCCACTGCTCCTCCTCCTCCTCCTCCTCCTCCTCCTCCTCCTCCTCCTCCTCCTCCTCCCGCTTACCCTCAGACTGCCCGCGCGCGCTTCCGCGCACGGGGAGAAGCGGACGAGGAGAAAAGAGAAGTAGGAGAAGGAAGAAGAGGGAAGAGGAGGGGGAAGGGGAGGAGGAAGAGGAGGAGAAGGAGGAAGGAGGAGGGAGGAGGAGGAAGTGGGAAGGAGCAGGAGGAAGTAGAACAGGGGAGGAGGAGGGGGACGAGGGGTATCACAGAGTGGGAGGGGGAGGGGGAGGAAGTAGGGAGGAGGAGGAGGAGGAGGAGGAGGAGGAGGAGGAGGAGGAGGGGGAGGAGGAGGAGGGGGAAAGGGATCAGGGAGGGAGATTGGGAGGAAGAGGATCGCCCTGCTCCCCCCAGCGCAGGGCCTTGCTGCCTCCGGCCCTGCCGCATCCTGCCACCGTCGTACGCCGGCGGCTCCCAGCCCATGCCCGAGGGCGGATGGGCGCCCCTGCGGGCGGGCGGGAGGGGGGAGGCAAGGTACAATCAGAGCGTTAGGAGGCAACTACTGGGAGGTTTTCGTCGGAAACACTAAAGAGGATCAAGCCCCATGTGGGAGCTGTTACGCCAGAATGGGCCTCGGACTGAGCAGGAGCAAGCCGGATGAAGCGGGATTCAGCGGGTTAAGCCGGATTCAGCGGGATCAAGCCGGATTGAGCCCGACTTCGAACCAGGGCCAGATCTGAGTTTGACCTCCCAGGAGTTGCATCCGAAAGAGCGGGTGTTCAGGACGGGTGGCCAGGACGCAGGACCCTCGGAGGCCGAAGTCGGGGTTTCCCTGGGGCGCCGGAGGCGCCCCTGTGGGCGGGCGGGGGAGTCGGGAGGTAAGGTGCAGCCAAGGCGGGTGCTGAGGACGGGCTGTGAGGACGCAAGACCCTTGGATGCCGAAGTTGGGTTTGTGCTTGGGGGGGCGGCAGGCGACCAGCGAAAACGGCAAAGGACGGGCCGCAGAGGCAAGGACACAGGGGTGCGGGTCCTTGGCGCGTTGACTGTAAGGTAAGTTCGCGGGGCGCGCAAGGGGGTAGGGGGAAGGGGGGGAACTTCTTGGAAGGAGCCTGCTTCATAAAAGGCGCCAGCCACACATCTGTAGACAAGGCCCGCGCCTTCTCAAAGCAGGGTGGCTTCTCAGAAGCCTTCCCCCCTCCCCCTGCCCTCCCTCTGCGCGCCGCCGAGTTAGGTAAGACCCTAAGCCGCCGCGAAGCCGCGAAGGAGGAGGAGGAGCAGGAGTAGGAGGAGGAGCAGGAGGAGGAGGAGGAGGAGGAGGAGGAGGAGGAGGAGGAGGGGGAGCGGGGGAGGCCAGCTTGGAGGATGCGACTCTCCCGGTCGCCCTGACACGGGTCGGCCAGGCGGCCTCGGAGGCCCTCGGCATACTCGCACGAAGGAGCGCGCCTCCCGGAGGGAGGCGACGAGGGGTCCGGCAGCGAGGCGGCTCTCTGTGGGCGTCGGGAAAGAAACGCACGATCCCGAACGTCCGGGAGCACTGCCCTCAGTGCTACTACAAGCAAACATTGTTAAGAATCGGCATGCAGCGCGGGGGGGGAGGAAGGGAGGGGCGGAAAGCAATTCGACAGTCGAGGCTCGAGGTTTGAAACATGTGCTAGACGGTTTGGGACCTAGAGCCTTTCTGGGCCTCCTGGGGCGCCCTTTTGTCCACGGCTGGGTCCGCCTCGAATTTGCGGCAAGAGCGCACCCCAGGAAAGGTCTGGGGTCGATCTCTGAGGAGAAGGAGGAGATGGAGGAGGAGAAAGTAAGGAGGTTGGGTATGGAGGAGGGAGGAGGAGGAGGAGGAGGAGGAGGAGGAGGAGGAGGAGGAGGAGGAGGAGGAGGAGGAGGAGGAGGAGGAGGAGGATGGAGGAGGAGGAGGAGGAGGACCAGTCAAAACCCAAGAGTCATCAAGGATGTTAGAACTAACCCTCCCACCAAGCTCCCTCTTCATAGGCCCCTACAACAGTTCATTTCCATTGAAAGAACTGCCTCGTTGGAAGACAACCGTTTGAAGATCCTGAAGAATGCCAATACATTGTTCTCAGGATCTTAACGCCACGGATCAACCTGACTGCTGCGTCTTGACGATCTGGAATTGTGCTCGAACGCCATTTTTGGGACTTCAACACCGCGAATCATCATAACTGTGGTGCCCGCATAATCCTGAATAATTCCAGAACGCCATTTCTGGTACGTTGATCATGGGAACCCGTGAAACTCTTGCAAATGTTTCAAGCGAATGTGCGCGGCGCTAAGGCGGGAGCCACATGTTGAAAAGGACCCGCTCTCAATCCATGGAATTCTTGCAAATGTATCAAATGAATGTGCGCGGCGCTAAAGCGAGAGCAGGAGGAGGAGGAGGAGGAGGAGGACAGAGGAGGAGGAGGAGGAGGAGGACGAGGAGGAGGAGGAGGAGGAGGAGGAGGAGGAGGAGGAGGAGGAGGAGGGAGGAGGAGGAGGGAGGGAGACAAGAGGCGGGAGGAGGGAGGATGAAGAGGCGGGGGGAGGGAGGAGAGGAGGGAAAGAGGAGGGAGGGAGGAGGAGGGAGGCGGTGGAGGGAGTGGCAAGGGGAGGAGGAGAAGGACGAGGGGGATGGGCAGGAGCCAGCAGGTTGAGCGGGGCAAGGCGGGGTTTGCGGCCGACGGGCCCTGCCGGCCCTGGCGAGCCGGGCCGCCACCGAGGGCCGCACCACCCTCGGAGCCGAGCCCAGAACCAAGGCGGCGCCGGCCCGAAGCCGGGCCACTCGGGGGCGACGACAGAGGCGAACCCAGACCCCCTCGAGTCATGAACAAAAAGAAGACGGGCAATGTCTTGGTATTTTCGGCCTGTGGGAGCCCCCACCGGGCCACGGGACCGTCAAAAAGGACTCGGGATGAGAAACCGGTCCTGGGGAAGGGGTCCAGACTATTGGGGGTCGACGTCATGACAAAAATCATGACGTCGGGGGTCTGGGAAGAGTGACCCCAAGCAAGAGTGACCTCTAGCGCTCGGCTTAAAGGATTGCGAAGGGCCCAAATCCAAGCGCGCGGGCCAGTGCTGGGGCCACCCCTGTGAGCCCGCACCAAAGGTCACCCCGGCGAAAGGTCACGCGTACGCGTAGCCGATCATGGCAGAAAACGGCCTTGAAGGGGCCCTTTAGGTCCCATTTCGGGCCCCTAAGAAGGGCCCCCGAAAGGACCCTCCAGGGCCCTTCCACCCGCCCTCCCTTCAGGTCGTCCCCCATTACGAAACCGATCACATCTACGCCCTCAAGGTCTGGGTTCGGGGGCGCAACCCCACGGATGCGCGGTCGTGTGGATACGTTCCGCGCGGGGCTTCCGCGACAAAAACGCCCCGTGTCCAGGGGGTCGCGGCCAGGGAGAGGGGAACTTCAATCGTGGAGCGGCCATAGCTATCACCGCCACTGTCATCAGATAAGTAAGCATCCAGGGTCTGAAGCCTCCTGGCCACAACTCCTTGGCCAACGCCCCCGCCGTTGTTTCCAGCCCACGAGTTCCTTCGTCAGGGCCAGAAGCCTCTTGGACGACCCGAGATAGAAGGACGGGGAGAAGGAAGGAGGATGAGGATGAGGATGAGGATGAGGATGAGGATGAGGATGAGGATGATGATGATGATGATGATGATGCTGCTGCTGCTGCTGCTGATGATGATGATGATGATGATGATGATGATGATGATGATGATGATGATGATGATGATGATGATGATGATGATGATGATGATGATGATGATGAGAGGGTGGAGGAGAAGCAGGGACGAGGGGGAGGAGGGAGGAGGAGGAGGAGGAGGAGGAGGACGGAGGAGGAGGATGAAGAGGCAGAGGAGTAGGAAGAGGAGGAGGAGGAAGAGGAGGAGGAGGACGGAGGGGGAGGAGGGAGGAAGGAAGCATGAGTAGAAGGGAGGAAGAGGGAGGAGGCCAAAGGCTGCGTCAGGAGGAAGCTCCACCGCCCGAAGTGCGCCAGAACTCTGGCGTCGCCATATTTGTCACAGCAGGGGCCCCCAGAGGAGGTCAGCACCCTGCTCCCCGGGACCAGTGCTTCATCCCGAGCCGTCTCTGTTTGACGGCACCGGGTACACGGTGAAGGCCCCCAAAGACCGCAGATCGCCGAAAGCTTCCAATCGCGTCGTGATGGGGTCCGGGAAGGAGAAGGGGGAGAATGGAGCGACCAAGACTGAAAGCGGAAAACCTTGATCATCGTCCATCTCGGTCAGCGTCAATATGTGCATCATTCCCGCGAATCGGCGGCGGCTGGCGTGGACCATGACCAAGATCGTGGTCGATAAGATCCCGCGATATCTAGGTCATGGTCAGTGTGCTGCTTCCGTATGCAAAGCCTGGAATGGAGCGCGCAAGCGGCCTACAGTCAAAAATGGTAGTACGGATGCACGATAAGGGCGCAAGACCCTTGGACGCCCATGCCGAAGTTTTTTCGAGCGGGGCTGGCTCTCGAAAGGAGTGGACCGAGGAAGCAAGGACGTCAAACAATCCATGGCATGGCGACCCATCCTTACTATCGGTTTCGATTGCACTACTCTGGCTGGATTTTCAATACATTTCTGGAAACCTGAGCACTACCATTGTTTTGTACGAGTGTATCGCGCAGCGCCACCTGGCAAGAAACCGAAACAAACCCCGTTCAACAAAAACAACGAGGCGCTGCCCGTTTGCAGGTGGCGCCCCAGTCACTGTGGCTCCAGCAGAACGTGTGGGGTGCAGCGACACGGGCGACACCTGCGCGCAGACTGCGAGTTGTTCGGCGCGCAGAAACGGCACGTACCACATCGGCCCCATGAAGTGCGCAAGCCGCAAGGGCCGCAAGATCCAGATGGCCGTTTTTGTTTTGACAGCGCGCGGAGTCGTCGCGTAGCAGCGTGCGCAAGCCAGAGGATGCTAAAAAACACGCTCTCGAGGATGCGTCGGGGAGCCCGCCGGAGCAAACAGAGGGCAAGGCATCAAGGAACCTCCGATGTGGACTCCCGAACTCGGCACGGATATCCTCCTCCACCAGCATGGGACGCATGGGATGCGGGGGGGGCCGCATGGCCCTCCTGGAAACCAACCCCCGTTGCAAGTCGGCCCCACGCCGACCGGCCGAGCAGCAAGGGGAGTAAGAGCCGACCAGACCAACCAGCCAGCCAGCCAGCCAACGAACCAACCAACCAACCAACCAACCAGATCCCATACGCATGCGTATATGATATTTTGTCTGCACGTCCCGCGGTGAGTGTCTGAGTGGCAGCTGGCGACTGAGCGCTCCCTAGCGGCTCCCCTTTGGGGTGCCCGGGTAACATGTCTGATACACCGCGATTGCCGTAGGACTCCGAAAGGAAAGGGTCCATGGCCCATGGGTGCCAAGACCAGCGTTTCCCTTGAAACATCCCAACAATCGGGCTGCGAACGGGCAAATGTAGCACCCCGTTGTGGCTACCCGCTAGCGTGCCCCACTGCTGCGTATAAAGTATCTGTGAACATTCGCGGGCTGAGCGTGGTGGGCCCCTTTGCGAGTGAGTCTCAGTGCGGGTGGGTCTGAGTGCGAGTGAATCTGAGCGCGGTGGAGTCCGAGCTCGGATCATAAGCCCGAGACTGTGCCCCTGCAGGATCTGGCGCCTGTGGGCGCCCGAGGGCCGCGCCAGAGACCCAGGGCTCGACGCGGCCATGGCGCGGCCACTCGTCCTTTGCAAAACGTCGATGCGGGGACTCATACATAACCACCGCCAAACCAATCGCTTTTCGCGGACATCCACAGGCGGTGGAGAAGGATAGATTTTGACCCCCAGGGGCCAAAGTACCCAGACCCCTGACGTCGAGGAGGAGGAGGAGGAGGAGGAGGAGGAAGAGGAGGAGAATCGAGAGAAGGAGGAAGTCTCGGCGCCCGGGTCATAGCACGGGTCGCTGGTGCCCTCCGTAACCGTCCGGCCACCCCCAGAACGCCCTCGGCGAGACGCAACCACTGGAAGGCACCCTGGAGCTGGAGAGCCGCCGAAAACCGACGAAAACGCCTGAGAACCTTGAACTTCGAACTGCCGATCCGTATTTTCTCTCCCCGTATTTTCTCTCCCCCCAGGAGCAGCAGTCGGCTTGTTGACCTTCGCTCCCAGTGCAATGAAGGATTCAGATCCTACGGATCAAGATCCCAGCGGCTCAAAGGCCGCCGAGAACCGACGAAAGCGCCCGAGAGCCTCGAACCTCAAGTCCATGAGCCTCCAGCGCGGCGACGACCAAGCCCAAGGCCCAGACCCCCGACGTCGTGATTGCTTCACAACGTCGACCCCCAAAGGTCTGGACCCCTTCCCCAGGACCGGCTCTTCATCCTGAGTCGTTTTGGACGGCCCCGGGGTCCTGTAAGGGCCTCCCAGAGGCCGGAAATAGTGAAAAACCTCCCGTCATGATTGTTTCATGACCCGAGGGGGTCCCGATAGTCCCGAGACCTCTCCCACGGTGCGCTCTGACCAGCACTTCGAAGCGAATTCAGCGGAGGCGGCGATGGCCTCCCTGGAAGCTTACAAAGCGAGCGATACCGAAAAACCTCCCGTCGCTGTCTTGTCACAACGCGAAGGGGTTTGGGGGCCGCAGAGGCCGCAGGCACCCGCCGGGGGCCGGGCCGGGCCGCGCCTGCCAGGCGGGTGCTGGCGGCCCTGGCCAGCGCCGGGCCACAGGCCAGCCTGCTGGCCGAAAATGGGCCCCATCGGCGGCATGGGCCTCAGCGCGGCCCTCCAGAACCTCGCCCCTCCTGCCTGTTCCTCCCCTCCCTCCCTCCTGCTCCTTATCCTCCTCCTCCTCCTCCTCCTCCTCCTCCTCCTCCTCCTCCTCCTTTTCCTCCTCCGCCTGCGCCTCCTCCTCCTCCTCCTCCTCCTCCTCCTCCTGCTCCTCCTCCTCCTCGTTGTTCCGCCTTCCCCCTGACTGCTTCCTCCTCGCCCCCCTCCCTATCCTTCTCCTCCCCCCTCCTCCTCCTCCTCCTCCTCCTCCTCCTCCTCCTCCTCCTCCTCCCCCTCCTCCTCCTCCTCCTCCTCCTCTTCCTCCTCCTCCATTCCTTCTCCATTCCTTCTCCTTATAGAAAACTGGTCCCTGCCGCACCCCGATGCCTTGTTTTAGGGCGGGCCGGCGTTTCGACTGAGACTTCCACACCATGTTTGACTCTGAAGCTTAAACCGTGACAACAGCTTCACGGATGGAGGGCGGGTGGTTTTCAAAATGTGGCTCTCGCCTAAACGCCGCGCACATTCGTTTCAAACAGTCGCAAGAGTTTCACGGAATGAGGGCGGGTCCTTTTCAAAATGTGGATTTCGCCGTAGCGCCGCGCACATTCGCTTCAAAAAATTGTAAAAGTTTCACGGATTGAGGGCGGTTCCTTTTCAAAATGTGGCTCTCGCCTGAGCGCCGCGCACAATTTATCTAAAAAGGTGTAACATATTCACAGATGGAGGGCGGGTGGTTTTCAAAATGTGGCTCTCGCCTTAGCGCCACGCACATTCATTGTTTAAACTTGCAAGAGTTTTGCGGATTGAGGGCGGTACCTTTTCAAAATGTGTCTCTCGCCTCAGCGCCGCGCACATTCGTTCTAAACAGTTGCGGGAGCTTCACGGATTGAGGGCGGTTCCTTTTCAAAATGTGGCTCTCGCCTGAGCGCCGCGCACATTCGTTTTGAACAGTTGCAAGAGTTTCACGGATCCCCAAGATCAACGTACCAGAAATTGCGTTCTGGAAGGACTCCAGATTATGCCGGTGCACCAGTGATGTTGATTCGCGGTGTTGAAGTCCCACAAATGACGCTCTGGCACGATTTCGGATCGTCAAGACGCAGCAGTCAGGTTGATCCGTGGCGTTGAAATCCTTCCGAGAACAATGTTTTGGGATGCTTCAGAAACTTCAAACGGTTGTCTTCCAACGCGGCAATTCCCTCAATGGAAATGAACCGCTGCAGGGGCCTATGAAGAGGGGATTTGGGAGGAAGGGTTAATTCCAACATCGTTGATGATTCTTGGATTTACACTGGTCCTCGTCCTCCTCCTCCTCCTCCTCCTCCTCCTCCCCCTCCCCTCCTCCTCCCCCCTCCTCCTCCTCCTCCTCCTCCTCCTCCTCCTCCTCCTCGTCCCCCTCCTCCTCCTCCTCCTCCTCCTCCTCCTCCTCCTCCTCCTCCTCGTTGTTCCGCCTTCCCCCTGACTGCTCCCTCCTCGCCCCCTCCCTAATTTCCCTCCTGCTCCCCCCCCTCCTCCTCTCCTCCTCCTCCTCCTCCTCCTCCTCCTCCTCCTCCTCCTCCTCCTCCTCCCCCCCTCCTCCTCCTCCTCCTCCTCCTCCTCCCCCCCCCTCCTCCTCCTCCTCCTCCTCCTCCTCCTCCTCCTCCTCTTCTTCCTCCTCCTCCTCCTGCTCTCGCTTTCGCGCCGGGCACATTCTTCTTACACATGTGCAAGAAGTTCACGGATTGAGGGCGGTTCCTTTTCAACATGTGGTTCTCGCCTTAGCGCCGCGCGCATTCGTCTTGAACAGTTGCAAGAGTTTCACGGATCCCCAGGATCAACGTACCAGAAATGGCGTTCTGGAAGGATTCAGAGTTATGTGGGTGCAACAGTGATGTTAATTCGCGGTGTTGAAGACCCAAAAGTGGCGTCCTGGTACGAAGTCGGATCGTAAAGACGCAGCAGTCAGGTTGATCCGTGGCGTTGAACTCCCGAGAACAATGTATTGGCATACTTCAGAATCTTCAAACCGTTGTCTTCCAACGAAGCAGTTCCATCAATGGAAATGACCGCTGTAGGGGCCTATGAAGAGGGAGCTTGGAGGGAGAGTTCCGTCCAACATCGTTGATGATTCTTGGTTTTACGCTGGTCCTCCTCCACCTCTTCCTCCTCCTGCCCCTCCTCCTCCTCCTCCTCCCCCTCCTCCCGATCCTCCTCCTTTTCCTCCTCCTCCCCCTCCTCCTCCTCCCCCTCCTCCTCCTCCTCCTCCTCCTCCTCCTCCTCCTCCTCCTCCTCCTCCTCCTCCTCCTCCTCCTACCTCCTCCTCATCCCCCTCCCCCTCCTCCCCCTCCTCCTCCTCCTCCCTCCTCCTCCTCCTCCTCCTCCTCCTCCTCCTCCCTCCTCCTCCTCCTCCCTCCTCCCCCCCTCCTCCTCCTCCTCCTCCTCCTCCCCCTCCCCCTCCCCCTCCTCCTCCTCCCCTCCTCCTCCTCCTCCTCCTCCTCCTCCTCCTCCTCCCCCTCCTCCTCCTCCCCCTCCTCCTCCTCGTTCTCCTCATCCTTGTAGATCGCCAACACAGTCCAAAACAGCGACGAGATGGCCCAAGGTAGCCCAACGACGATCCAAGATAGCATCGAGACGGCACTCGGCCCGCCGAAGGCGGCCCAATAATCAACCAGTGGTGCGTCGGAGGCATGATCTTCTTGCTATCCTGCGAGCACTTGAAAGAGGGGTACCATTCCGAATATAATCGACATCGCCTGAAGGGTAGAGCACGGGCGCTCCACTCTTGTCCCATCAGATCCGCCCCACCGGATGTGTCCCCTTCAACCATATCCCCGACAAGCGTCTCCTGAGCATCATCCTGGCCAAGTTTTCGAAAAGAGTTTAGCTCCTGCGACGAAGACCCTCTCGCGACCCACACGAAACCAACAACTACGCCCGCGAACAACATCCCACCACGCATTTGGGCGTCGGTGGGTTAGGGGAGCCTGTCTTCAAACACATGTTCTGCCCCATTCAGGAAATGATTCACCACGGCTCCGTATTCATAGACACCCGCCCACTCGACCGACGGTCGACCCGAGACAAAGACACCCCCCCAAAACATCCCAGTCATCACAATAATTACAAGACAAAGTGAATGTTGCGCCATGATCTGGCTCATATTCGGGCGTCCCGCCCTCACTGTGTATTGGTATGCTACTATTGGTATGCTACACGACGGCAGAGGGCATAGTATTACCCCGTGTGTACAGGCCCACCATGCCTCTCAGAAAAAGCAATGCAATGTGAACGTGGCGCACAAATCTCCCGACCCCTTAGAGTCCTCAGCGTGTGGGATGCTTACCCCTCCCCCGACCCCTCCCCCCATACACTGGTCCGGACTCGGAGGGAGGGGGGTTAGCCCGGATCCCACTGGCCCGGCCCCAACGCATCATGGGAGGATTGAGCCCCCCACAACGAGCCCAGAGGGCCCCAAGAGGCCCCCAAGACAGTCCAAGAAGGCCGCCAGTCGCCTAAAGCTCCTCCAAGACGGCCAAGTGCCCTCCAGACGGCCCAAGACGCCCCCCAAAACGCCCCCAGAGACCTCCACGAGCCCTCCCCAGAGGGCCCCACGAGGCAACATTCATTGATGTTCAATCCGTTTTTGAAAGATTTTAGCGTTCTTGCCATGTCGGTTGCCCGACGCTCCACGACGGCCAAGAGGCTCCCAAGATCCACCCAGATGGCCCCAGAGGCTTCCAAGAAGGCCCCTAAACAAACAAAGAGGGCCCCCACACAGTCCCACAGACGGCCTCCAAGAAGCTCCTAGGGGCCTCCCATAGGCCCCCATGCAGCGCCCAAAAGGGCACCAAGCAGCCCGCGAAAGGTGCCCAAGAGGCCCTCAGAAGCAACACACCACGACCGCCCGTTCCCCAAGGGGTCAGCGATGTGGTGTAAGCGCAAAAGTTTGTTCAACAATGCTGGTCACACGCAAACGTATCAGTGGCGACGAAGGTGAGACTGTATCGAGCGATCGTGGTGCCGAAGCTGCTGCACAACTTGGAATATCTTTGGGCCCTCTAGGCCGACAAGTACAGGCTAAACTCTATTCATGTGCAGTGTCTGCGGAAAATATGTCGCATTCCCGGCGCCATGTCTCAAGAGTTCCGAACCGCAGCGTTTTGGAACGGACCAGCGAACATGATCTGAGTAAGGACTTGCTCGAACGCCAGAAGAAGCTCTACAATGGAATCGCCGTTCTTCCGGAAGAACACCCACGGCGCAGGCGCATGTGCCAAGTCGAGTATGCCTCGAATCTGGGACGAGAACCGTGCGCGCGGGAGGCCCAAACAGCAATGTGCTCCCAGGACTCCCAGCGTATACGCTGCGCTGCCCTGACGAAGGTGTGAGCTGCACGGGGCGCCTGTGTTCCTGTGTGCCGAGGCACCGTCTAGCCGCCAGGCTTGCTTCCTTGCTTGCTCCTCCTCTCTCCCTCCACTTCAGAGCTCTCTGCCGCCCTCCATCCTGTTCCCGTCCATCCTAATCCCCCTCATCATCCTGCTCCCGTGCCGCATCATCATCATCATCATCATCATCATCATCATCATCATCATCATCATCATCATCATCAGCAGCAGCAGCAGCAGCATCAGCATCAGCATCATCATCACCACCATCAATCATCATCATCATCATCATCATCATCATCATCATCATCATCATCATCATCATCATCATCATCATCATCATCATCATCATCATCATCATCATCATCCTTCTCATCCTCCACCTCCTGCTCCTCCTCCCCTTCCTGTCCCTATGATTCCTCCTTCTCCTCCCCTTCCTCCTCTCAATTCTCCTCCTGCTCCCCCCCTCTCCCTCCTCGCTCTTCCCTCATCATCCGCCCCCTTTTTTGCCCGGCCTCTACCTGCTCCAGATCCTCGCCCTCCTCCTCGTCATTGTCATAATCATCATCGTAATCATCGTCATCTGGATCATCATCAGCAACATCATCAGCAACCATCACCCATCACCCATCACCAA